TGTTCTACACAATTCAATGTATTAAACAAAAATTTATAACATTTGACTAAATTGGAACCAAAAATTAAAAAAAAAATACTAATAATAACATTCAAAATATAAATAAATTAAAAAATATATTTAATAAACAAAAAACAATATCGACATGCCATTGTAAACATCAACCTGAGGGAAAAATGTTACTCTATATTACTAAAACACAGTTGGCTTCGAAATGAAGATCGCTGTTATTTAAAAGTGAAATTACGTGTTGGATACCATCGATCTTCATTTCTAAGCCAACTTGACGTTGTTTTTTTTGATCATACGCTAGATAACTGAGTTTTCTTCAAATTATAGAAAGACTTATCTGATTTAAAGTGTATAGTCTGTCCAACGGGAGAGTCTCTGACAGTGACAGTTGTATCTGTCATTTTAATTCATACTTCCCTGAGTCGTTGGACAGGCTATATTATTATTTTAAAAGCAGGAATTGCTAAAGGCTGCGAAACGAGAGAATACTTGACAGTGACAGTTATTGTCTGTCATTTTAATTCACGTTTAAGTTGAATTCTCTGTCATTTTCTGGATGTCGCCTGTCGAAATATTCCCTGACTCATTGCTCAGACTTTAAACACCTGTATTAAACAAGGTTTAACCAACTTTCCTTGTAGTATTTTATTCACAGGGTTAACAAACAACGAGAGCACCTGTTTTATTAAAACAGGGAGGCTATGAAATGATTTTTATCACTGTCACACCTTCCTTAATTAAAAATATTGAAAAGTATGGTGCAACTATCTTCTTCCGTGAATATGACACTATTCTTAGTTCAACTATTATAGTTATACATAAAAATATTGAAAACTTCCATCCTATTCGCTTCTTAAAACACACTCTCACAACTATCGTTCAACGATACGTCATACACTATCGGACAAAAGTAGAGCAACACTTCGAGAAATATTTGCAAATCGCGATTTTTTAATTATACATGCATGATAATGTATACAAATACAATAAATTTAAAAACTACGAAGTAGGCTATGAGTATCCACGACAACAAGAATTTTTACTAACAAAACAAATGAATTTATTTTGACATTTAGTTTTAAATGCTTAATAGTAACGCGTCAAAAGTAGAGCAACATAATTCATTCCAAAGAAGGGTTTTAGCAAAAGTAAAGGCCAAAATAATTGTGCGAGGTTTATTTTATGTTTTTTAAACATTTCTATGCTGGATTAGTCATGCCAAGAGGAATTACAATTTCAAAAGACTTGAAAAGTTGTGAATGCATTCGTGGAAGGTAACAAACAAGCCGATATTTCAAGACAGATAGTGTTACCCCGTTACAGTGTATCTAAAATAAGTTCATCGTATAATGACAGGGGACACTTAGAAAAGTTGCCAAAATCGGGCCAAAAGAAAATAACAGTAATGACCGACAGACGCATCAAAATAATTGCTCAAAATGATCCGTGAAAGTCCGCACCTAGAATTATTGCCGAAATTCCAGAAATTACGGTTGGTATACGAACAGTACAAAGAAGATTAGAGTAGATGCAAAGTTATTTAGTAGACGTCCAACTAAAAAGCCGTTAGTTTCGGAAAGAAATAGAGCAGTAAGGTTGGCATTCGCACGTCGGCATTTAAACTGGACCGTCAATGACTAGAAAAAAGTTCTGTTCAGTGATGAAACGCGCTACAAAATATTCAATTCTGATGGAATGAGACGTGTGAGGCGACCAATCAATACAAGGTTTAATCCTAAATACGTACTACACCTACGGTAAAGGCAGTGTATTTTTATGGGGTTGTTTCTCATGGAATGGGATAGGCCCTATACACTTTATTAATGACATGATGGACCGATTTGTTTATAGGGATATCATGCAGAATGTTATGCATCCTTATGCAGAATGGGAAATGCCACTGCGTTTTATTTTCCAACAGGACAACGATCCAAAACACTCTTCACAAGTTGTTCAACAGTGGTTTAGGGAAAATGACGTTCGAGTTTTGCAATGGCCAGCACAATCCCCAGACCTTAACCCCATTGAAAATATCTGGGAAGAAGTAGAACGTCGTATTCGTACCCAAATGTTTCCAAATAAACAATCCTTATAGATAAAATTAATGAAGTTTGGACAAATCTTCCCGAAAATGTCATTCAGAAGTTGATTGCTTCAATGCCGCGCCGTTGTCAGCAAGTTATTAATAATAATGTGGATATTCTATCAATTACTAATGTATTACTTTCAATTATTATTGTTCTTAAATGTGTTAAATATTTTTTGCTGAAATAAGACACAATAAAATCTGTTGAATACAATTTGTTGCTCTATTTTTGTCGCCCCCATTCTCATCAATTTTTATAATCATTATTATTTACCATTTTTAAACTGATTAAAAGTACACCAAAATTTTGTAAAATATTACTTTTAGTGTAATGATAGTGTGTTAGTAAACATAGCCGAAAATCACAACCTAATATTTTTTTTTTATTTAAACTTTAATAAAAATGAACTTTGTTGCTCTACTTTTGTCCGATAGTGTATATTGTCCTGCTCTTTCTTTCTCGTTGAAACGAGATGGAATAGACTGAAAAAAAAAACACAAAATGAATAAAATCGGAACACGCTCAATTACTAAATTCGGAACGTACTTGAAATTTTCTAAACAATATAAACTGATCTCAGACACACCCTAAAGCGGATATTGATATATAATTATGACGTAACGTTGAGCGATCATTGTACAGACTATAGCAATGAAATGTATAGAATTATGATTGGCCCAAATCAAACATAAACACTATAAAAGTATAAGTTTGAAAATTTAAATTTTATAGAGATTTGAAATATGTTTGAAATAATTTAAAATAAAATACATCATCAAAAATTAATTTTAACAAAAGAGAAAAATTGGTTTTGAATTTCTAACTTTAAGAATAAATAAACTATAAAACTGGTCTTTCTAGGTGTATAATTCAGGTGTTTCCACTTCACATTGATTGGGAAAAGAGAATGGACGCTACTACGCTTCCATGGATTTCATATTCTATTTTTTACAGTGGTTCGCTGTTATCTACTTCACAGAATGGTATGATTGTATATGTATAGTATAAATATTTAAAAAAGAGAAATATAAATATAAAATTCGGTTCAAAACATGCTTAACAATTTTGACAAATGTTTTATCATACAGTGTCAAATGTCGAAACAAGGAAAGTAATATGAGAAGAACTATATATTATTATACAGAGTACTATTAAATATTAAAGACACAGAGTATTTGCTGAATAGCGTATAAAAGTGCATCCATAGAATTAACATTTTCAGTATCATCAATCATTTCAAACTCTGTTTATAAAAAATATGTTAAATTACGACTAAGCCAAAATTCGTTTGGTAGAAAACACTAAAAAAGTGAAACTTAGACAAAGCAAAGTTTACACAAAGACTTGCCAAGCAAAAATACCTTGAACTGTGTAAAAAAGTTATGTAATCATATAAACAACGTTTTCAAAATATAAGCTAAAATTACTTGATGAATTTTAACTGCCAAATCTATACGAGTTTACGACTTATTTATTAAAAAACATGCGTCTAATCAGATATAATACTCTCACTTTTTTACTTCTTGAAATTTTAAAATACATACTTTCATCAAAGACTGATAAGATATGTGTGTGAAAGGATGACTAAATATGACAGAGATAGCTAGAGGTACTCTACTTAAAAAGTTTAAAGAGAAAAATACTTGGCAACTGCAATGCTTCATATTATTTTAAATAATGTAGTCTATATTTAAAGGGTAAGACCAAGAAAATATAGTTTTGTGCCAGGTTGATAGACAGAGAAACAAAGAGACATGCAATGTTGCCGGTTCTTACACGGCTTTAAAACTGCTCATCGGGACAAAAAAATCCGACGATATCGCATAAAAGAAATGTGGTTAACACATACCATTTTTTGTTTTTTAGTATGTTTGATTTATCCAATAGGATATCTCCATCATTATTTTAACACGTTAAAATCCAGAGCACAGATTAAGATTTCCAAACCATAATCCCGGTGTATGTTCATCCCCGAAATCCCGATATCAAATCCCGGGATCCCAAAAATCTCGAAAAATTTAAATGCTCAATCTAAAATGAATTGATTTTATACACTTTAGTCTTTCAAAGATCATATTTTATTTATACTAAGCAGAACGTCAATAAAGTTAAATTTCCGTGTTTACTATATTTCATTTTTTTTGCAACAAGAATTGTATTTTTTTTTCTTACTAAATATGAATGTTACTTTGTTTTGTCTATTTTAATAAAGCTCTTTTCTCATTTTCTTTTTGATATATGTAGCTGCATTTTTATTAAGTATTTCTTTATTAAAATAATTAAATTTCTCATTCTGATAGGGAGGATTATAGGTTGATAGGGGGATCGCAGGATTATAGGTTTCCAACCAAAGGAAAACAGGATCCCAATCCCGAATTAGAAAATTTTGCACTATATGAATGCCTCATTCAGAACCTCCAAACTAGTGGAATAAGTCTAAAGGTATAAGAGTTTATAATAATACACAACGTTAAAAAAACAATTAAAATTAATAGAATATCCTAGCAACAGCTTGCGGTAGTCTGTTGTATTCACAGAGAAAGCCGAATATTTAGCTTATAAAACAATCAACTTTTGATTTCTAACCAAAATTTTTCTTGACAGGTGATAATCAAAGTCCAAAATGACATTCCTCGCAAATTTTGAAGTATAATTAAGTTGAAAAGTCAAAAGTTTGTTAACTTTTTCCACTAATTGAAAATTACTACCACTAATTATGAGGTTATGAATGCTTACATTAAAATTAGGTGAACAAACTTCTATGGCTAATTGAAACTACTAATTTATTCCACTGATTTCGAGGTTACATTAAAATTAGAGAAACAAATATTTACGCTAATTAATTGAAAACCCCTGAATGAAAACTTAAATAATTTTTCAAGTAATAAGTAAAGTTTCAAGTAATCAGCAAAAAAATGTATTTACTACTTGACAAAAATTAATAGGATACCTACTTAAATTTTATGAATGTTACTTAATTTTTTCAATAGAGTATCTGTATTTTTCGGCATTAAATAATGGATTAACATAATTATTTTTCTTAGAAATATGATTTTTAACAGCTTTAATAACTATTGTTGATTCAACATAAAACAAAACTAGCAAATTATTGAGTCTACCTTACTTTATATTTTAACTAGTTAAAAAAAAGACACAAATAAAACAAAATTACGGTAAACCATATTAAAACCACCTTTGCGATCTCACTTATTTTGTTGATATACTCCATCCTTGGTATAGGTTTATATGCATCCGTCATGCGTCGTCCGTAGTTGACAGACAAAAATCACAGACCATACTTCACCACGATTGGTGTGAACAGAACGACAGACGCATATAAACTCACCTTTAATATTATTATTCAATGGGCTTTCCGGCCTATCAGAATCATTCAAAAAATCAACAAAATAACAAAAACTCTAAGAATCTAGTGAAAATCATCCATAAGATATATTTTCATAAATCCACCGACAATTTAATTCCAAATTTATCTACACACCAGGGACCCCATCTCACGTACCAAAAATTAAAAATTCAAGCTTCTTATATCTGACTAGACTTCCCCGAAAGCCGTTTTGAACGGCCCAGGGTCGGCTCAGTTCTCCTCTTTTTGGTAAAACTCCGTATTAAACCTAGACGTCAGTATGTACACCACAGCCTCGTAAGTAGACATCATGATGGCCGTATTGGGGATCTGCCTCACCAGCTGAGTTTTGAGTCCCCTGTAATAATAATAATAATGCTTTATTTCCAATTTACAATGTACAAAAATTGTGATGGAATAGTAAAAAAAAGATTGAAACTAAGAATAATTACAATAACTTTGTTCGCACTGTGGCCTATATAAAAAACTATATTTGTTTTAAAGACAATCCTTTTTTTTTGTATAAAAGACAATCCTGGTATTGAAATAATTTCCGTTAATATAAGTGTTCAGAGTCTTTGTATAGTATTATTACCTGTACAGGCCCCTCAGGCCTTCCTCCTTGAACACCAGGCTCAGCGTTTGAAAGAAGCTGTTGTATTTGTTGCCCTCCTCCCTCAGCCTGGTCCTGCACACCTCGTGGGGGTAGGCGATGCAGGAGGCGACCGTTTTGGAGATGGCCCCGGCGATCATGAACTCGACGAAGTCCTTGGAGGTGCGCTCGTCGTTGAAGTGCTCGTGCGAGGCGATCAGCTCCGCTTTGATCGCCTCGTATATCACGAAGTGGATGATGGTTTCGGAGATGCCCATGTAGGAGGCGGTGATTCCTTTGTAGAAACCCAACAAGCCCTGAAAAAGAGTTGTTTGTTAGGCGAGTTCAGAATAGCGATTTGGTGCGGTGTAGCTTATAGTCAGTGTTAAGTATGGTGTAAAAAGCGCACAGCGCAATTTCGTTACCCAACTTTGACGCATTTTGATTTATTTCCTGTTGTCTTGGCCCACTTCGGTTTGCCTCGACTTACTTTCGACTCTTAAAAGCGCCTGAAAACTACTCGTGAGGAGGGCGTGGGGGGATTTTTTTGCGTTTTTTGTTGCCTCGTTCAATTTTGTTTTGTTTTAAGCTATTTCCAAAACGTGGCGGTATCTGTATCCGAGGCAAAGGATTTTTTTTTTCATAAATCTCAGTGAAATAAGTAAACCTAGACGTTTCTAAAACACCTGTTGTTACGATGATATTTCGTTAATTACATCTCGTTTTATGTTATATTAATATACCGGGTGCGTCTCAGAAGTGGCTCACCCCTATAACTTTTTTATTTTTTCAGATAAAAAAATCGAGATTTGGTACATTAATATATGATATAAATTAGGATTGATTGACGAATTCAGTTGTTTTCTGTCACTTCCTGTTTCACCGGAAGTGACTACAACTTTTGATTTTTAAATGGTACCCTCAGTCTTTTGTTGCTTCATTCGATAGAAAATGACACTCTGAACAAAATGACATATCATATGTCAACTTTTGAAATTTTCGAATATGGTTTATTTGAAATTGGAACATGCGATTCATAACGACAATATGACTCGAAATACCAAGTGTGTGGTATTTCGTCAAAAAATGCTTTTTCCAAATATGCTAATGAACCACTCTCGTTCCATTTGAAAAAACTGAGATATTATGATTAAAAGTACGATTTGGGCATCTTTTAACCGGCCAGGACAAGACACGAATAACATTAGACAATTAAATCTATTTTTCCAAGGCTCCTTGACTAAAAATTAATGTTTTAATACAGCCATGGCACTCTAGATTGAAATTTAAAATTCAATTTTGTTTTAAGCGAAAATATCAAAAGCTGACATATGATATTTCATTCTATTCAGAATGTCATTTTCTATCGACTGAGGTAAAAAAATACCGAGGGTGTCATTTAAAAATCAAAAGTTGTAGTAATTTCCGGTGAAACAGGAAGTGGCCGAAAAGAATTGAATACGTCAATCAATCCTAATATATGTCATATAGTAACATACCAAATTTCCTTTTTTTTATCTGATAAAATAAAAAAGTTATAGGGGTGAGCCACTTTTGAAACTCACCCGGTACACTACACAAAGACGCGCCGTGATTGATTGTTTGATTTTTATTGTTAATCTTAGCATTAACATTATTTATAATTTTTTTTCTGGAACTATTAATATATTTTGTTGATATTTTATTTTATTTGAAATTGGTAATTGCAAACTTAATAATTCTAGTGTTTATGATTTAGTCAAGTAGTTTTAGTTTAAAAATCAAGTTAATAAATAACAAACATAAGTTATCGAATTAAAAAAAAATCTGACATTTTAACGCCATTTATCTATTTTTGTTTATCAAAAAATATTTTTAGATATTTGCGGAACCTTGAGATTCGCTATCACCTTAGTTATCATCTGCTTTGGCTCAAAAAGGCGTAAATAAAAATAAATCTTTTAAGAAATTAAACGCAATTTATTCAAGCCGGTAACACAATGTAAACAAACAATACTATAAATAGTTTTAGGTACTGACTAATTGAATATACGGTATTTAGAATTTAATTGTCAATCCCTCTTATGTTATATCACCTTTTAATGTATCATGGCATGATTTAATTGAAAAATGTGTGTACAGAAATGCCGTATGTAGCGTATGCGGGGATGTGAAATGGACGTCTGTAAAGAGAGACAATGAACGATTATAAAGTCAACATACAAATAACGAAGATGATGTGTACTTTTCAATTAAAATGTCAGACAACATAAAGTAAATTGGCTGCAGTTTTACGATTTACGGCATAAACAGCGGCAGCGGTGCATAAGGTCATATTTATATGTTTATAAAGTGTCAATTGTCTGTTATATTAATCCATAGGTAAATTGTATTTTTTTTTCATTTTTTCGATGTCAACTATCGAAATCTTCTCTGACTCGTTGGACAGACGTCTAACTATCCTCTAGCTTTAGGTTCTAGTCCCAGAACCCTTCTGCAACTTTGTAAAAGCAGTCACAAGAATGGCTACAAAACGGTGGGTGGCCAACAAATCTCTAGAATGATGGAGAAATTCACCAGAGCAGATAGACGAAAAAGTACATATATACATTGGGCAAAATTCACAGCAGACCTGATAAACAAAGATATAAAGACAGTCGAAGCTGTAGTGGGTCTACTAACAGGGCATTGTAAACTGAATAGACATCTAAAGCTGGTAGGACCGACGGACGAAGCCATGTGCAGGATTTGTCAATCTGAATACGAAACGCCTGGCAAATATGCAGTTCTTTGTACTAGGCAATGATAAGCCATAGACGAAGAGCTATATATGGAGGGTACAGTCTCCAAGTTGGATAGACTTCTTCAATAGGATAGGACTGGAGAATGTAAACTAAGGATTCAGAAGAGATTCACAAAAGATCTGAAAAGGTCGCAGTGAAACTAAACTTACGTGAAAAAATGTCTATACCTATGTGGCGGCTTCATCTATCCAAAATAATCCTTATGGGTTTTTCGCCACTGCACTGCAAGAAAAATCTACAAAATAAAATAGTTATTTTTTGTAAACACTTCTGCGATAAACCTAAACGGACGCTGCTTGTCAGAAGTTGTGTTTACAGTAATAAAAATTTGCCTAACAAAGAAAAAAATGCTTAACGTTTCGGAAAGTTTTCTCTTTCCGTCGTCGAAAGCAAAAAAATATAAAGAATCAAGAAAAAAACTATTTAAAATATTATAAAATAATATTATACGTGAAATTTAAAAATAATCATACAGAAAGTTTGGGCTTTTTGGTTTTACCTTATTAAGAAATTATCAGGTAGTAATTGTTAATTTTGAAGTTTAACTTAATATAATGTCATTTTAACAGAACGTCAACGATTTCTTGTAGACGTATCTGTTTTAAAAAGTAAAGTGTTCTCGAATAGTTCAATTTAAATATTTTAAATAGTTTTTTTCTTGATTCTTTATATTTTTTTGCTTCCGACGACGGAAAGAGAAAACTTTCCGAAACGTTAAGCATTTTTTTCTTTGTTGGGCAAATTTTTATTACTGTAAACACAACTTCTGACAAGCAGCGTCCGTTTAGGTTTAACGCAGAAATGTTTACAAAAAATAACTATTTTATTTTGTAGATTTTTGTTGCAGTGCAGTGGCGAAAAACCCATAAGGATTATTTTGGATAAACTTACGTGCATAGAAATCGGCCCACTGTGAACTTTTGGTTTTAACTGTGTCGTTTAGAATCTATTTATCAGAGTAAGTAAAAAATATGAGATGTTTCAAAGACAATTTAACATGTTTTGATATGAGTATAAATTTATCCAGAGTACTTATCATAGACTAATGTCACGTACTAGAGATAGATTGGACACTGATATAAAACAAATGGGTCCGTCATTTAGAGCCACCTGGTGATCCGGAAGAAACTAATGGAGAGTTTTGGCATAACACAATTTTAGCGTTCCGTTACTTATTAACGCTAATTAAAACGGTAACGTTATTCAAGCGCAAAATTATTCCTTGTAAAATATAAAATAATAAATATAGACTTTTTTCCGCATTTCATATTTTATTAGATCATTAGAAGTATAACATAATTAAAGCAAAATTAAAATTATGAATACATACATTTTAAACACCAACAATTCAATTGTCTATGTACTTACTTATTTATGATTAAACTATTTTTTTATTTGGTTTATAAATTATTTCTAAAATGCCAAAATGACTTTAATAAAAAAGTTTAGTATCTAACACGAAAATGATGATCGACTGTAAATATTAGAATGCACAAACTAATAAAAACACAAATCACTGAAATCACTGAACTTTCTGGCAAATCAGGAATATCTGAATTAATAATTATTTAAATAATGATTTAAAAATAACTTGACGGATCACCAACATTTTGTCAACTAGACAAAAACTAGACCATAGACAGTAGTTAACATAGAGACTGTAATGTCATCTTCATATATAAATTAGAAACCTGTACTTTAATGTCTTTTGCGCCGTCTGGCGATGCGGAAGAAACTAAATTTGTAGTTCTATAAAATTACCATTGAGTGTCTAGGGCATGTTACTACCTTTGCAATCGAAATTTTCACATTGTTCTTTTATTCTTTGATTAGTTGTGTTTCATTGTTTGATTAGTGTTTCAATTTAATGCATACATTATCGGAAAAAGCCGCTCAAGTAATCGCTTTAATCGAAAATGGACTTAAACAGAGAGCTGTAGCTCGGCAACTACATATGACACGCGGAGCGGTTCGATGAGTGTGTAAACGATATGAGGAGACTCGATCCTTTCGTAGGCGACCTGGAACTGGTAGAAAGAGATATACAACGGATCGTGATGACCGCTTTATTGTGTCAACAATGTTAAAAAATCGGCGTCTTAATGCTATTCAGGTGCAACAACAGCTCCGTGAAACACGAGGAGTGACTATTAGTCAGTGGACAGTAAGACGAAGATTGAAAGAAAGTAACATGACCCCCAAAACACCCGCAATTGGTCCAAAACTTACCCCAGCTCATCGTCAAGCACGCCTGCGTTTTGCACGGGAACATCTGAATTGGACACTAGAACAACGGGAATCTGTTTAATTCTCAGATGAGACCAGGATATGCTTCAATGGTAGCGACCGAAGAAGAAAAGTGTACCGGAGGCCAGGTGAGCGATTAGCAAAATGCTGCATTGAGGAGCGGATTGCTTATGGAGGTGGTTCCTGCATGATCTGGGGTGCAATTTCTCTGACTGCGCGAACCGACCCAGTTTTCATCCGTTGGGGCGACCGTCGTCGGCACGGGAGAGGAGGTTTAACTGGTGTTAGGTATATTGAGGAGATTTTAGAAGTTCATGTGGTACCTTACGTCGCGTCGACTACATTCGAAACGAATTCACTTTTATGCATGACAATGTGCGGGCACACACATCAAGAATCGTACACGATTACATTTCAGAAGTCTGTTTTCGGGTTATGGAATGGCCAACGTGCAGTCCAGACTTAAACCCAATAGAACATTTATGGGATGAGCTAAAACGAAGAATTCGTGCTAGACGAAGAGCCCCAACTTCTATCCCAGAGCTCATTGTTGCAGTAGAGGAAGAGTGGCTTAACATCCCGCAAGAAACAATATCAAATTTGATCGAATCTATACCAAATCGTATAAGAGATGTTGTTAGAGCAAGAGAGGGTCATACCCATTATTGAAAATTTAGTTTAGTTACTTGTCCATAAATAAATAAATAAATAATAACATACCTCTTAGTAATAAAAAACGATAATTTGTTTCATGCGTTAATTTAATAATTTTAATCCAAAGAAACCAAAATACAAATTAATATAATATCTCTAAACTCTTTTCAAAGAATATGAAATTGTCTTTCAAACAGCATATAGGTATTTTTTCTTAATGTGACAAATATATACATAGTTAACATCAAAAGTTTGCCTTGGGCGGATTTCTATGCACGCAAGTGTAGTATCCTCTAGATTTACATATTTCTCTGGGGAAATGTGAAAGTTAAAATAGTAATTTATACTATATATATATATTTATACTTTGGTAATACAGATTCTAGTTTAATGTAATATTGAGCGTGATAGTGATTTTGTTCCAATTTATCAGGCAGTAATAATTTGCGATAACAAGACAGGGGAGAAGTTGTAAGGTCTTGACAAAAAATACAAATAGGCAAAGATTACTGTACAAAAGGAATGTACCCAAGATATACAAACCAGGTGTAAACAGAAAAATGCTAAATTGCTATTTATTTACTAAAACAGATTATTAACAAAAATTATATGATTATTGTATAATAAAAAAATATGATGCAACGTATAAAGTGCATGATTTGTTAAATTTACAACAAATATATAGTTCATATCTAATAAACTTTTAGTCACGTGATTAAGCTTGACCGGCACAGCGCTGCCCATTTTTACATAATATTTTCTTATAATCAAAATATTTTTGGAAACAAAAATAATTAATTAATCATAAGTATATAAAAAGTTATTATTTACTATTCCAGAGGACAGTCCTCTTTTTGGTCTCACTGTCCTTGTTTTCTCTCACATATTGAAAAAGTCCTCTTTTTACATACCAAACTCAAAATCTTAAAAAGATCCGTCTATCGCCACAATGCCTTAAAACATGATTAATCTGTGTCTTTTGGCAAGAAATATTTATGTACAAGAAATATTTGTGGAAGCCATAAACATGTTTAACTATTTTATGTTTACTGACTGTTAGCTTATGTTTTGAAGACATTTTTTTTTGGTGAAAACGGTTTGTTTTTTGTTTTGAGTATCAATATTTTTAAGAAAGCAAGAAAGATCATCAATCGTATACCGTTTACATAACTTTTTGGGAAATTCTAGACATTTGGGCGAGGTTTCAAAAAATGTTTCGCCTGTGCCTCTTTTTTACCCTTTCTTTTTTAAGCCTTTCTCTATTTTTTATTTTAAAAGTTGGCAACCCTACCTTAACAGCACTTTAGGACCATTACTACCGCTTTCCCTTTCAAAATATTCTAATAAGGTTGCGATGAGTTTTTTACAGCTCCTATTAAGCTATCTTGTACACTACACACTAAAAGAGGTTCTAAAAAGAACAATGTGTTTAAGCTCAAATGTTTAAGCTTAAAGTATCACAACACTATTTATTTAAACCAAAAACTCATAATACAAAACTAAAGTGTCAAAACGAACGACAATGTAAGGAAATAAATAAATTAATATGGCAACTTGATATTTTTTACAGCAGAGCTACCACCTGAATCCCGGCGCCTAATATGCCCATGATTGGCAGCAATGAATTTAAAAATCGCGCCCTCGATTACGTAACTAAAAGTTTAATTGGTATCGCTTATACCCTGCTGGTCATCTAATTTATGCGGTCCGGATGAGTGTGACAGAGAATAATATAAATGACCGGTTGACAGACAGAGAGACAAAATCAAAAGCGGCATACAGTGTTGCCGGTTTTTTTTACGTTTGCAGAAAAATATGTGTAGAAAAATATAAGCTATTTTAAAAACTTTCATGTATAGTACTGAAATGATGATAATATATTTAAACTAAATATAATCTATTACAGCTGTAGTAAAATAAGTAACCTAATAGTGAAAAATAAAGTTCCAACCCTAGATGCAATATTTTTCGTAAACGCCTACTTGTGCGTTTGGAAATGTTGATGCCAAATCCCATGCCAATGTTGACCCAATTTTATATCTTTTTAAAACATTTGATTCTGCATTAAGCTGTCCAGATCACTGTCTCAAACCCCGTTCTCAGAACTGCGTCGTGTCGACAGCGACACTAATTGACACTTCAAACGACCAATGGGAGCTGTACTAAATTTAAAATTGACAGCTGTTTGAATTTTGTACAAATCCGATTGGTTCTTTTGTCGTGTCGCTGGCGACAGTCGCAGTTCTGAGAACGGAGCTTTAGACGTTAAAATCCAGACCGCACAGTTTCGATGACCAAATCGGTATATGGTCAATCTATCTCTTATACATGTCTATGGATGCAGCAGCGGCATCTCCCCTGCAAAGAATACTCACCGATTTGGCATAAATTTGCTTGACACACTGCAGAGCGGTCATGGGATTCTCCTTGTTCACGTCCAATTGCAGTCGAGTCTTCACGAACCAGATGGGGTTGGTGAGCGTGCTGGCCATGAAGCCTGCGCACGACGCCGAACAAACATGCACTATAGGAGAATCTGGTGGTAATATGCTATTCCAGAACCTTTTGGCTTGGGAATAGGTGGAGAAATACACGGCACGAGAAGGGGCAACTCCTATCAAGTTAGGGCCCAACCTGGAAATAAGAAAATTAATGTTATAGTTTAATGGAGAAAAATATAGTCTGTTTTACGAATAATGGAAGATTTCGCCGGAAGATAGAAGAAAAAAGACAGATGACGTCTACACCAATCTATTTAGTACACTAAAAAAAATTTCTATTATATTTTTTTAAGTTCTGTAAAACGTGTGGGATCTGGTAAAATCTTATGGATTGCAGGAATAAAGTGCGGCTTACAACAGGCCCTCTTGACAGGATATATGTCAAGTGTTACCTGAACAAGTTCAATCTGTATCAAGGAAGTCTTTGCTGCAGACTCTGCGATAAAAATCCTGAAACAACGGAGCACATAATATGTAACTGCAGGGAGGCACGACTTGGATCATAACGCTTTTTGACTAGGCTAGAGCAGGAGGAACTATGCTCCCATCCTCTCAAGGACCTGCATAAGTTAGTGCAGGGCGTAGGGATAGGAGAATGGGTACAGATATAGAAAGGGGACTAACACAATAGGCCACACAGGTCGCAGTGTTTCCGGCAGAGGACTGCGCCCCTTGTTAATGGAAAAAAAGTTAACTATGGATGTGTTCAATATATGCGTTATATAATGTTAAGAGGTTAATCTGAGAGAATAGACAATAATGTCTGGCAGGTGAAAAATTGGGATAAAAATTATTGAGACCATTGCCCTTATTTTCGAAGTCCTAAAAAATTGTCATATGATAGTTTATATTATAATTACAGCTGCAAATATAGTCTGGCTAATGTGGAATATCCAGAATGCCTTGCCAGACTCGTCCAATGTTCGTCAGGCGCGCTAAATTCGGCATGTTCAATTATGCCACTTCCTCTCCTCATTTAACTACCTGACTTGTGAGTCTGGCGGGGATTTCCTGATTGTAAATCACAGTCAGACGTGTATTTTCTATGAAATTATAGTATTATTATATTTATTATTTATCATGTGACAAATTTTCAAATCCGGGAAAATAAGAGCAAAAAATTGTAATTTTTGCAATTTTCAAGATGCCGCCAGGCTCATTTGCCAATTTCGTAAATCAACCAGACTTGCTTTTGATTATAGTTTATGATAGTATCAAATAATGGTAGTTAAATTTTAAGCAAAAAAAAATGGGAAAATAAAGGTTAGATTTCAAATCTGTCAAATTTTAGCATCCGCAAATTTTCAGCCAGACTAACTTTCCTCCACTTGGGATGTGCCAGACTGTTATTTCCATTAATAAAATGATTCACTTTAATAAATGTCAAATATTTAAGACTGGGAAAATAAGTGTTGACTTGTTTTTTTTTTATCTAGTAAACCCTTCCGAAAATTTTAGCCAGATTAACAAATTTCATTTAATGTGACCATCCAAACAAACTATTTCATAAAAAATGTCTATACCTATGTGTCTATATCCATTTTATCACATACTAAACCAATGAATACAGAACAACAAACAAAAAATCTAATATACAAAATACCATGTGAATGCGATAAATTTTACATTGGTGAAACATCTAGACACTTAAATGTCCAAATTAAAGAACATAAAGATTATTTAAGAAAGGGAGATTTTCACAAATCTAAGATTTGTCAGCATTCATGGGACACAGAACAAATTTTAAAATTAAATTTTAATAACGCCAAAAGTATAATGAAAGAAGCGATAGCCTCTAAAGAAAAAATAAAAAAAAAAAAAAAAAAAAAATCTAATAAAAAATAAATGTATTGCTCATTGCATCTGTCGAAGTTAGTAATGTATGGCAATCCTTTCTTTGATTTTAAAGAACATAACATAAACATAACATACGTAAAAATTAAAAATAATCATACAGAAAGTTTGGGGTTTTTGGTTTTACCTTATATGATAGTAATTGTTATCAGGTAGTAATTGTTAATTTTGAAGTTTAGCTTGATATAATGCCATTTTAACAGAACGTCAACGGTTTTGTAGACGTATCTGTTTAAAAAACTAAAGTTTTCGAATAGTTGAATTTAAATATTTTAAAATAGTTTTCTTTATTCTTTGTATTTTTGCTTCCGACGACGGAAAGAGATAAAACTTTCGAAACGTTAAGCGTTTTTTGTTCGTTAGGCAAATTTGTATATCTATGGCCTAACTTCTGACTGATTAGTTTCCGTTTGGATTAACGCAGAAGTGTTTACAAAAATAGAAACAGTGGCGAAATACCCATATATGATTTTTGGAAACTATTTCATATTCACTGACTTGAAAAATAAATGATATAAAAAATTAAAAAATGTTTTTTTTTTTTATAATTTATAAATTATAAACTTACCTTTAAATAGGGCCACTGGACCTTCATATCTGATAATGTGCCTGATACACTGGGCGATGCCCATGTCGTTGCCCAGCCTCAGTGGAGGTGGCGGAGGCGCCGTGAAACCTGAAAGAGCCACAACTTGAGGCCGGCCATAGCTTGTAGATGTCCATAACCTACGCTTACCTAATGCAAGAACAAATATTTTCATGCTTATAGACAATTTTTAGCACAAGCTAGTTTTATTTAGAAAAATCAAGCCTTATCACTAAAGTAATCTAACATTGAGTATAAGTGAAAAAAGATAGAATAAAGAGAAAAACAATTAGAAATACAAAAAAGATATGTATTATAATTAAATATTTGCCTCAATTATTAATAAAAAACATATAAAGTCAAGCAATTTTTCATTGATTTGATGCAATTTGATAAAAACTTTCTGTTTAATACTGTATATTGTCATTGAAACTCCTAAAAGAACAGTGGTATCTTGAAGCCATACAAAATGTAATAAGAATTTGATTGAATTGATGCAAAACACACATAGTAACAGACAAAAGATTCAGAAATATAATTTATTATCTTCTATTAAATAATAACTGAAACGTTTTATTACTGTTATCATTTAGTTACGGAATAATATATTTTAGTTACAGAAGTTTCTAGATAACTATAATATACGTATCGTCGAAAAAAATAGTCTCAAAGACGGCTGGGAATGACAACCGTTGATAATTTTGGCGAGGTCAATCACTAGACGTCATTTACTCCTCGAATTTTTTTTATATTTATATATATTTACAGTAAAGTTGGAAATCAGTGATTGTTAACAATTACTAGTAAAAGCTCACCCCATTTACTGATTTGCTAAGACTACGCCAGTAAAAGTTCAACAGCTATTTTGGAAACCAATTTTACTAGTGAATCCTAGCATAATATAGTAAATAGTAAAAATATAAGAATAAATAAGGATAAGTTGAATAATGGGCAATATAAGGATAACATTAGAAATTGGGCTAAACACTGGCAACGTTGACAGACATCTGGCGTAAATTCACTTTGTTTTTGTGGTTATGTGTATAATCGTTTCGTTATCGTTGTAAAAGTGTTGTGCGGTACACCCTCTGAAAGAAATTTTCTGTGAAAACTTAAGGTAAACTAGGCACTAGCAAGAATGTAATAGTGCTTGTTTTCATTTTTGAAAAAAAAAAAAAAAAAAAAAAAAAAGTTAATTATTTTAAGAAAAAAAAGATATTAGGAACCTAGTGACTATGAACGTTTTGATATGCTTAAGTAGTGGGTTTGAAAAAACGAATAACTCCCGTTGAAAATTCAGGCATACTTTATTTTGTCCACGATGAAGAACTTTGATAAAAACCTTGTACCCATAAGTAATCTTATGTTTATGAATGTGTTTTTTTTAATGTTTTTGTACGCTTTAAAATGCTTACTATGTGTTCCCTTTTTTAATATTCAGAAGGTTATGCTGTTATTTTCTATAATTTTAATAAATATACTAAAGAAGTAAATTGCAATTTTAAGATATGTGGATCAGCAAGAATATTGAGGTGATCCAATATTCATAAGTTTTATTTTGTTCTAACTTCCCATAACATTCTTCCTTACCACACTCTCCATGTACAATAGAATAACTTACTGGCAACCTTTAGTAAATGTTACTTTCACAAGTGAATGTTAGAAATTACTAGGAAAAGTCGACAAATATCTTTAAAATGCCACATTCACTGGTCCAGTGCGTAATTGCTAGCATTTCCGAGTGAATGTTAACAATCACTAATTTCCAACTTTGCTGTAAAATTATACACCATTGAAAAATCATTATTTTTACTCGCTATATAAGCTGTCTTTGACGCCGTTTTTTCGATCGTATGGTACTTCATATCACATAACGTTCCCCCAAATGTATTTTAAACAACCCATTTGGTATGAGTACAATAGAGAGACAGAAAGAAATCACATTAATTAACAGAAAATTTATTTGTCTGTGCAGCAATGACAATTAGCTAGTTCAATCACATTTAATTACCAGGAGTCGATGAGGGTTTAACGTTCCTTGACTGTGGAGGTGCATCGCTTCCTGGGGTCGATTTGAAACCGCTGCCCCTTGAAGACTGTTGGCGAGTTTTGACTACTTCTAATGGACAAGTCACGATGGCACCTACTGTACCCGCCACTCTGAAATTTCAAACAAAAATCAATTAAAATTGTATATAAATGTACAAATAAGATAGATAATAACTAAGAAAAATATATGAACATACTAAAGATAATAAGTAGTAATAATAAAACAAAAGAGAAGACAATACTGGATCGAATCCAGGGCGGAATCAAGTTCAGTGGAATCCCAATAAACAATATCAGATATGCCGATAATACGGTTATAATAGCCAACGATATACAAGAACTGCAAAGCATTATAGATTCGTAGTCCACTATGGTGAGATGTTTGAACTGCATCTCAATGTCTCCAAGACCAACTATTGGTCTTTTCTAAGACTCCAATAAATGCACACCTGCGTGTCAAGGGACAAACAACTGAACAAGTGACCTCATTAAAGTATTTAGGAGCTAACATCAATAGTCAGTGCGACCCGAAAAGAGAAATATTTTCAAGAATTGAGCAAGCGAGAAAAATCTTCGTGAGAATGAAATCATTTTTTACAAGACGAGACCTCAGTGCCAGATGCTACGTCTTCTCTGTGTTACTCTATGGGTGTGAGAGCTGGACACTGGATTCACAGACCGAGAAGAGAATACAAGCCTTCTAAATGTATTGTTACGGATTCCGTGGGTCCACTATTTAAACTCACGATAAAATACTTAACAATTTACATTTGTTTCTATACACACTGGCCGCCTATTTACAACACAACTTATACAACTACTATTACTCTAACGGTATTTCGCGGTATTTTTCAAACTTCAGACTATCTTCAGACTTTAGACTTTAAACTTTAAACTTTTCTTGTCCAACTGTCAAAGAGGGGGCCTTATATACCCCTGGCGGTTGTTTCTAGATTTTCTAAAGAATTCTATAATTTTTCTTTACTTTTCTGGCGAATGTGCCAGGTTCCTCAATGCACCGTTGCGGTTATGCAACCAGTAATACACATTTACCTTAACATTGCCCCCTTCTCAAATTTGATCGTCCGATCAAGGTTTCCTGTATGGTATCTCTTCAATCGATCCAGATGAACTACTTTCATCTTACTTCTAGGACTGCGTTGAATCCGGTACACAACATCATTTATCCTCTTGATGACTTATAAGGACCTTCCCATGCTGGGGTTAACTTTGGGGACCTCCCTTTCTTGCGCTGTGGGTTATATAACCATACCATATCGTCCTGTTGAAATCCCGTAGAATTAGCTATGAGGTCGTAACGAGCTTTCATCCGGTCACTGGCTGGCGTAATCTTACTTCTCACGGCCTTATGAATTTCCAATAACCTTTCCTTCAGTTCATCCTCGTAGTCCTCTACGTTCGTGGTGCTGTCGTCTGGTGATCCGAACACCAAGTCACAAGGCAACCGTAATTCTCGACCAAATAAATTCTTCGATGGTGAAAGTCCGGTGGTTTTGTGAACTGCACTTCTATATGCCATTAGGAATAGTTGTATATGCTGATCCCAATATCTTTGATGTTCATCCACCATTTTCGAGAGATGTTCTTCAATGGGCTTATTGAATCTCTCGACCATCCCATCAGACTGCGGATGTAAAGCTGTTGTCCTAGTCTTGTGAATACCAAGCAGATCACACATCTTCTGGAACGGTCTTGACTCGAAGTTCCTTCCTTAGTCAGTGTGAAGCTCTAAGGAATTCCAAATCTACTGAAGACATTATTGACTAATACTTCAGCTACAGTCGATGCTTCTTGGTTTGGAATGGTAAAAACTTCTGGCCATTTACTGAAATAATCCATCGCCACTAAAACGTACTTGTTGCCCTTGTGCGTTTCAGGGAATGGCCTGCAATGTCAACAGCGGTTCTTTCGAATGGCAGTCCAACGTTATATTGTTTCATTTTTCCTAGATCGAGTGCTTGGTCCTTGGCTGGCTGCACAAATTTTACATTGTCGACACCATTTCTTGACATCTTCGCAATAATCCACCCAGTAAAAACGATCTCTCAGCTTGCTCAAGGTCTTGTTTACTCCAAGATGGGCTCCAGCTTTACCACCGTGAATTTCTTCCAATACCTGGGTAACTTTCTTCCTTGGTACCAGTAACTGAGTTGTTACTGTGCTGCCATCCGCACTTTCCCATGTGCGCTTTAACAATCCATTCTCAATTACCAGTGAATTCCACTGAGCCCAGAGAGCTTTGAAAACGAGGCCTCTGTCCGCAATATCCTGCCACGGTGGTCTCTCGCCGTTACCTTACTTGAGCCGTAGTATTGCACCGATGTCTGGATCTTCCGTTTGGTCTTTCCTCAATTGTGTCGTCGTGCACTGTTCATCGGTTCCAAGTTTAAAACTCCTTATCATGACAGTGCCTTCACGTTGTTCCGTTTTACAGCAGTGCTTACAATCGGTTTGACAGGGTCTTCTGGATAAACCGTCTGCGTTACCATGCATTTTTCCGGCACGATGTTGGATGGTAAGTGATACTGTTGGAGCTTCTCGAGCCATCGTGCTATTTGACCTTCAGGTTGTTTCATCTCCATAAGCCACTTGAGAGCCGCATGATCTGTCCTAATTGAAAATTCTTGGCCGTACAGATATTTATGAAAATGATCAACTGCCTTCACAATTGCTAGCAGCTCCTTCCGGGTAACGCAGTAATTCCTTTCTGGTTTGGATAGAACTCGACTGTAATATTCTATCACTCGTTCTTCGCCATCTTGCACTTGTGATAGCACTGCACCGATGCCGATATTGCTGGCGTCGGTATCCAGGATATACCTCCCTTGTTGTTGCGGGTAGGCTAGAATAGGACTTGAACATAAAGCCACCTTAAGTCTTCCAAAGGCTACATCACAATCGGTGTTCCATTCGTAGCCAACTTCATCACCTGTAAGTCTATGTAAGGGTGCAGCTATATTGGCAAATCCCTTGACAAATCTTCTGTAATAGGTGCATACACCCAGAAAACTTCTAAGTTCATGTTTGTCGCGAGGTTTAGGCCAATCCTTGATTGCAGCGATTTTCTTCTGATCGGTGTCAATTTCGTCTGCCGAAACTACATGACCCAAAAATTCCACTTGTCGTTGGAATAAGCTACACTTCTTCGGGTTCAAGTACAGGTGCGCATTCCTTATGCGGCCGAAGACTTCTTCTAAATTTCGCAAATGCTCCTCAAAAGTTCTTCCCATAACCAATACATCGTCGAGGTAAACCAGGCACGTTTTCCAAGTTAATCCTCTTAACACCACCTCCATGATACGTTCGAAAGTGGTTGGAGCATTGCATAATCCAAACGGCATGACCTTGAATTGATACAGTCCGTTTCCTGTAGAAAAAGCCGTTTTTTCTTTGTCTTCCTCGTCTAGACCAACTTGCCAGTATCCACTCTTTAAGTCGAGAGTGGAGAACCAGCACGAACCTGCCAGAGTTGTTAATGTGTCATCTATACGTGGCAGTGGGTAGCTATCTTTCTTAGTGACGTCATTGAGCTTCCTATAATCCACGCAGAATCGTGTACTACCATTTTTCTTCGTCACCAAAACAACAGGAGATGACCATGGACTCGATGATTCTTCGATAACTCCATCTTCTAGCATCTTATCTACCATTGTCTCCATTTCTTGTTGTTTGGAAGGGGAACTCTTCTAAGACGTTGTCGAATCGGCTGAGCATGACCAGTATTAATCCGGTGCTTCACAAAATCCGTTCTTCCACTGTTGTTCTTCTCAAAAATACTGCCATGCTTTAGCAGGAACTGCTTAGCCTTCTGTTTCTCCTCAGGTGTTAGGTGATCCCATGGCTGTTCTAGATTTTTTAGTGTTTCTTGGGATGCCTTTTGTGTAACATCTGACGACACTTCATCACATCAGGTGACACTTCTTACAGGTTCGCAGATGGCTATCTTGTCACCTTTTTGAATCTTGATACAATTCGGGAAAACATTCGCAACTCTGATCGGTATATTCTTGTCGGTGTTCACCAATGACTTTCCTACTAAGTACCTATCTTGTTTGTTGTCGCTACTTTGTACCAGTCCAACACAGCACCCAGCGATTTTCTCCACTTTACCGAGTACGATCTTCTCGGTATTACCAGGTATCACCACAGTTTCCGCTGATCTTACATCCATTCTTCCTGGTCCCTCGTCTGGAGATAACATAAACTCTTCATTTCCGATATTCAGGATATTTCTCTGGTGATCGAACGAAATCCATGTTGACGAATCACATTCATGCCCAAGATGAAGTCATCTTCAATATCTGCCACTAAAACGCTATGCTGGAACTTCAAATTTCCTAACTCCAGTTCGACGATAGCCTCTCCCCGTACAACAGCCATTTCCCCCGTAACTGTACGTAAACACACTCTTCTTCCCAGAGGCATCAGCTTCAATCCTTGCACTGAGTTAGCCCGCACCAACGATACCATAGCGCCAGTGTCCACAGTCATTCGAATTCCCTTTCCATTGACTTTCCCGTCGATCACCAAACTGTCAGCGGTTCTTCCTAGACTCCTAATGAAAAAATCCTGGGGGCTCTGTTCTCCCCAGTCAATACTCGCCCCTTAGTATTGACTGATTTTAGTTTTCCTGGTGCCTACGTTTTCTGGATGTGGTGAACAGGATCGCATTTGAACGCGATCCCGTTTGATGTGGCCATTCCTGCCACATCTATAGTACCTTATGTCCTGGGATCTTTTATGGTTCTCTGTCTGGGTGTTGTTGCTACTCTTGTTCACTAGTAACTCACATAGTTTACTAAACATCTCCTCCAAACGTATGTGAGAACTTCCGGGCTGTTCCTCGACCGTTACCGATCTTATCTTCGGTCTAGGGATGGCGCTAAATGCAGCTTCGATTTCCAGCGCCCTGACCAGTGCTTCGCTGCTGGTAGAAAATCGGGATATTTGCAGCGCCCTCTGTAATTCGCTGTCCTTCAGTCCGCTGATAAAGCACTAAGCAGCCAGTTCTTCCCTAAATCCTTCCGGTGCTTCTGGATATGCTAGGTGTACCAGGCGACGTAAGTCTGCTTCGAATTCCTGCAGACTTTCTCCGGACCTCTGCAAGCGTGTCTTGATCTGGGCCTGGTAAAGTTGGCGTCGATGTTGGTCGCCACATCTTCTGTCCAGTGCAGCGACCAAAGTTTAGTATTCCTGCTGTTGGGCTGCAGGGAATGGTTGCAACAGTTCAGGGCAGGGCCACGCAGCGCGATGACAAGTGCCGCTGCTTTCTCCTGGTCAATCCATCCGTTGGCAGCGGCCGCTGCTTCAAACTAGCGGTGGTACATCGTCCAGGTGGTTTGTCCATCGTAGGTCGGGGCCTTGAGGTTCGCAGTTCCATGAACGCCAGGTGTCCTTGCTTGTACCTTGGTCTTCTGTAGGTCCATCTCTAATTTTTCCATTTTCTGCTGAAGGCGTTCCTCCAGATCTTCTACGACTTCTTGGAAATGGTTCTCCTGTCGTTTTTCTAGGTCTTCAAAATTCTTCTGTAGTCGAAATTCCTGATTTTCTAAAGTTTTCTTAAGACAGTCCTGATCTTCTTGCTCTTTCTTTTGGCGGCGTTTCTATATCTTCTAAAATTTCCCTCCATTCATTCTTCTGACGACTTTCTAAATTGCCTAAAAATTTCTCAAGCCGGTCCTGTTCTTCTTTGTCTTGTTGTCGTTGAACTTTCAAATCTTCGAAAATGTTCTCAAGCCGGTCCTGTTCTTCTTGACGTCGTAGTTTTTCCTCTTCCTTTTCTCTTTCTAATCGGGCTCGTTCTTCTCGTTCTTTACGGAGTCTTTTCTTGTTCTTCTGCTTTCTCCCTTCTCATATTCTCCATAAAATCGCCTAATAGTTTGCCTACTTCCTCCATTTTCTTCGCTTGTTCCCTTGTACCAACCATAAAATACTCTAATCCGGTCTAAAAATCTTCCAATCCGCTTAATTTCTTCTTAAAATCCTCTTGAATCGCACTTCCGACACCAACTGTTACGGATTCCGTGGATCCACTATTTAAACTCACGATAAAATACTTAACGAATTTATTTGTTTCACTCTATACACACAACTTATACTATTTACAACACAACTTATGCAACTACTATTACTCTAACGGTATTTCGCGGTATTTTCAAACTTCAGACTATCTTCAGACTTTAGACTTTAAACTTTAAACTTGTCCAACTGTCAAAGCGCGGGCCTTATATACCCCCTGGCGGTTGTTTCTAGATTTTTCTAAAGAATTCTATAATTTTCTTTACTTTCTGGCGAATGTGCCAGGTTCCTCAATGCACCGTTGCGGTTATGCAACCAGTAATACACATTTACCTTAACAGTATGTATTATGTATACAGACGGATGCTGATAATCTCATGGGTACAAAGGATCACCAACGATGAAGTACTCCAGCGCATGCAGAAACAAAAAGAGATACTGAACACCATCAAGGAAAGAAAAATGCAATACCTGGGTCATGTGATGAGAGGTGGTAGATACGAAATACTGCGCCTCATAATAGAGGGCAAAGTGCAAGGGAAAAGATCAGTAGGAAGACGCCAGAACTGATGGCTAAAAGATTTGAGGAGATGGTTTGAACGCTCGTCTGCGTGAATCTTCCGGGCTGCAGTTTCCAGAATTTCCAAATTGCCATTTGGATCGCCAACCTTCGGAAGGAGAGGGCGTGATAAGAAGAATAAAACAAAAGAACGATCAATTCGAAGTTGGTCAAAGAATGCCTAGAGAAGCTGAACAAAGTAGACAAAGAAGTCCTCCTACTATGGGTGCCAGCCCACTAAAGGGTAGAATGAAATGAAAGAGCAAACGATGTAGCTAGAAAAGGAGCGAAAACTCCACTAACTGGACCAGAACCGTACTGCTTCCCAAGTGGAAACCAACTTAAAACAGAACTCAAGTACCTGGAAAACTCCATCCGTAACCTGGAATGGGAATCCTCCAACGGTCTAAGACCCTTCTGATTTCTCAGGACTCTCGGACAACCGAGACACAATCAAAGATCTTGCTTAATTTAAGTATTGTATTGTATTGACTAAGAGTGGGACAGGTGGGACCCTGCACTGTGGCCACGAGGGCCTATTGTAGCTCAGTTTCTACAAGCTCTTTATTTGAAAAAGAGCATTAAAGTTCACGGGACTTGCGCTCCATTCCTACCATCCTTTAGGAGTTCTCTTGTTCTACGTTTGGATGGCCCTGCTAGGATTTTCTTGGCATGTTCCATTCCGGGACTGTCATTCCAGTCCCGAAACGTCGCACCCCTAACACATTGCCTGTCTCTTGCGAGATTTTTTGGCACGCTAAGTATCGGTTCTGGGCCCACGAATGGCGACATGCGCCGGTATCCATATTAGCGACACTTTGTTTCCATCTAATATATTGAGTAGTTTCTTACAATGAAGACTCGTCATAGACGGGCTTTTCGTTGCCTCAAGTGCTTTCAACGCGGCTTGGCTATCCGAAAATATGCTTATTGCTTTCCCGGTGTTATTGCTGTTCTACCAGCAGTTGCACACAGGTTTCAATAGCATATAGCTCAGCTTGGAAAATCCAAAAATAAAATGTTTTCCAAGACTGTGGTATGTCTCAGTCTTTGGACTGCCGCAGTAAATTCTTGCGCCAGATCCTTTATCGCTTTTGGATCCGTCCGTGTACCAACACATTTCCGCATGTAATAAACCGTCCCTATTCGGAAGCAGGACATTGTAGGTGCGTGTCAAGAGTTGGATTTAAGTTGTTTTAGTTGAGTTGATTTAAGTAACAAGAATTTTCGGACTGTAATATGTCACGGGATTTTTAACAATGTCTCCTCAATGAACACCTCAGTAGATTGAATCTAAAATATTGCTTCAACAGATGATTCACACACCTCATTCAACACCTCATGATAGAGAACTAGCGTCTGTAAAACCGTCTCAGATACTGGTTTTTCTCAAAACCCTGGGACTGCATGATGAGTGCTCCAAGAAAGGGGACACAATATATCTGTAAGGTCATTGATTAACGCTCCTCCCATACGGGAGGGGGGTAATCACTATAAGGATGTATATTCTACTATACCATGATAAGGTATTGATGAAGGGCTATATTATGGAAGATAGATTTTCTCTTTTTCTTAAGAATATAAGTATAAAAAACCATTATTATCATAGAAGTTGAAGAGAACAAAGGTAGATAGAAGTTATATATTTTTCTGATTACAGGTATAAAAAATTTGTGCATACCGGTTTATATTTACTTAATCCACAATCCTGTTGTAAAAATGTTAAAACATTATTTATACTCTTGTTTATAAAAAAGCATTCACGTTCAGTTAAATAAGCATTACCAATTCTCATATAAACTAACAACAAATTAATTATTTATTAATCTTCTAATTGCTTAGTGACAGTGTCATTAAATAATTTAAACTTTGAGTTACTGTACAACAATTAGTAAATAATCAGGTTGTCCTATTTAATGTACAGGGTGGGTCAAATTCGACGCTTTTAAATGGAAACACCCTTTTCTATAGGAGATACACAAAAACTAATATCGGTGTCTGGAGCTCAATTTTATCAAAAACATGATGGTGAAAACCGCACATCAATATCTGTTACCGTTTCGGAGTTACGCGGTGTTTTTCAAAATGTGCATTTTGAACAAATCGCTGTAACTTTTTGCTATGGAAAATTTTGTATTTCTATGAAAACATTTCCAAAGCACCTTTTTACGTAGAATTTAATCGTTATAATTTTTTAAAATTAATAATTTAAGAGTTATCAACAGAAAAATTGATTTTTATTTGGGACACCCTCTATATTTTTAATTAACTGAAAAGAATTTAAAATTACCTTTCCAAAAATATAGCACACTTATTTTGTTATAATCGCCTTCGAAATATAAAATTTTAATAGTTCGCCACTTTTTTAACTAGTAGGCTTTGGACCCCTTATTGATGATATGCCCTTAATGCAACTCGAAACATATTTTTCCAGCAGGACGACGCACCGCCTTTGAACGCTGAAGTTATCAGCAAATTTTGCAGCCAATTTCAAGAATAATTGAATAGCTAACCAAGATCCCAGCCGTTGGCCGTCGAGGCCGCCTATGCCCATGGATCTAATCCTATGGATATATTTGCGGAAGAGATAAAAGGTTCCTTATTCTTCCGTATAATCCTAGACAAGAATTAAATACTTAGCAGTTATGAGAGGGTATTTTTTCACCCCCACTGAGTAATGAATTCCGCGAAATGTTCAAAAACTGCCGTCTGTCCATAACAGAAGACGGTTGATATGTCGAACACCTGTAGCAAAATCTCATGTCTTAGTTTTCTTGGGATGTTTTGAATTGTGAGGTTAGGTTTTTGTTTTGATTTGCAGTCGATCAGCTGTTATCAATGTCAATTCGAATGATTTCGCAGAGCAAAGCTTTAGGTATTATTTCTTAATTATTTGGATTCTGGTCGTTATTCTAGTCTTGTATAAATATTTCGATAGGACTCAAGATGACGCAGAAAATATAAAAGTAACAACCGAATTGTTTCCGTAATTTGGACACCGGATGTTAAAAACAAAACGAATTTTTCAAATTTGTAAATTTTCCTGATGAAATATATCAAGGAGACGAAGGTACAATAATAACTGACAGTCATACTTAAACCCTTTTTGTAGGTTTTAAATGAAATACTTAAATAAATCGTATTTTTGACTTAACAAAGAGGAAAAGAAAGGTATTTTTAGATAGTAAGAAGTGGCTACTTAAAGGTTTAATTGTTTTGATCAGGCATGGAGATCGAGGTCCTTTACAGCACGTTAAAAGAATTACAAACATAAATTGTGATACTGAAGAAACCAGTATTTTAAGATCTTATAAGGTACCGGACTGACAATTTTTCAGTCAATAATCTTTAAAAGTGTACTTTCAGGCATATCTACACAATCTGACAATAACAGGAAAAATACAATGGACAGGTCCAGGTCCATTCCACGGTTTTCCCATAATGCCCACATATCCAAACCAGTGTCAATTGGGTCAATTGACAATGCAAGGGGTCAGTCAGTTGTTAAATTTAGGCTCTATTTTAAAGAGAAGTTATTGTGAAGTTTGGCCAAAGATTAATTTTATTAAACCTGAAGAAATTCTAGTCCATAGCACAAGATATCGAAGAACCTTCCAGTCTGTTTTAGCTTTTTTGTATGGTCTTGTATCGAACGATACATTGACAAGACTGAATATTTTGGAGAGTCAGTCCATGACGTTTTGTTTTAAGGACTGTGAATGTCCAATAACTGAACATTTGAAAAAGTATGATAATACTTTTTTTATTTTTATCCAGCTTTTTTAGTACTTATTTCTAGGCAAATACAGAAGAGTGAATTACATCAATTGAAATTGCATCCTGCAGTGGAAACATTGACAGAAAGTACAGGTAGACTACTTTTTTCTGCCGATACTGATAGAAAATCTTTAATCAGGGATCCAAATGCTGTGAAAGATGCACTATTGGCTTTTGTATGTCATAGAACTGGATTACCATGCGATGGTCCTATAAATTGTATAAGGTAAGGTTTATAAAAAAATATTTTATGTATTTCTGAACCTACCTGGTTTTGTATAGAGTCTATACAGTGATAGAATATATGATTTTGACATACATCATCCCAATATAGGTATTCTCTCACAGGACAGGCTATAGCCAGGTTTATGTTATTTGCAAAAATATGTTGACTTGATCTATTTTAGAAAACACAACGTCGCTGGAATTATAGCTTATACAGAGTGGACCAATTATCAAAAATGGAGGAATACATATTGGCGTCGATTGTGTTTGTTGAGGTCATATGGTCAGATGCGTCATATTGTCCAGCAAATGCTTCACATGGTAAGATACCACTCACAAATGTCCAGTGGGAGAATATATAATTTTTTTACTATTGAGTTAAAGTGATAGGCAACTATCACTGTTGTATATTCTCTTACTGAGCAGATTAGACTTTCTTCTTCTATCATGCAATAAGTTTTTGTGCCCATATATTACCAGGCTTTAATTATTCATACTTTCAGTCATTATAATATTTTTTACTGTTATGCTTTTTTAAGTATTATTTGAATTTTTTAGACAAATTTTGACAAAAAAAAACACTTATTTAAGTCGTTTTTTTTAATGTCCAATTTGGCAGAGGCTAAGAGTAACAGATTTATTTTTGTGTAATTTAACTCAAGGTACAAACAAATGCTGATGTTAAATTAGACTTAAAGGCCCTTTTATACCATTTGGTTACTTATTAAATGCCCTTACCAACTATATAGTCAAGGTATGCAACTAACATTACCCAGATTCCTAATTCTTTCTCTACTTTTTATTTTTCAACCCTCGTCCAGTTGACAATCTAGGATTTTGTTTGTAATAAATTTGGTGAAAAAATGCTTTTAACATCCAAAACATATATAGATATACTGGGTGCGTCTCAAAAGTGGTTACCTCTATAACTTTTTTATCAGTTAAAAAAACGAGATTTGGTATTTTAGTATATGATATAAATTAGGATTGATTGCCATATTCAATTGTTTTCGGTCACTTCCTGTTTCACCAGAAATGACCACAACTTTTGATTTTTAAATGGCACCCACGGTATTTTTTTTACTTTATTTGATAGAATATGGCATTCTGAATAGAATGACATATCATATGTCAAGTTTTGACATTTTCGCATATGGTTTATTTGAAATTGAGATATGATTAAAAATACGATTTGGGCATCTTTTAACAAGCCAGGAGACTAAAAACATTAGACAATCAAATACATTTTTCGAAGGCTCATTGATTAAAAATTAGCGTTTTTAACATAGCCATGGCACTCTAGATTGGAATTTAAAATACGATTTTTTATTAAGCTAGAATGTTAAAAGTTGACATATGATATGCCATTTCCAAACAGGAAATGACTACAACTACATGCAGGATTAGTTGTGTTAGAACAAAATATTAACTAAATAGTCTAATCTTTTTAGGTGGGATCTAATGGTCCAAACTTGGTCGTTTACTCCGGTCACGACTACACCTTACTCCAAATATCCACAGCGTTAGGGCTAGCCAACGACCCTCTACTCCTCCGATACGCCTCAAGAATAATATTCGAAATCTATCAAGACAACCGCGAGAACACGAACGACGCCAAAGGCATCTACTTCCGGGTGCTGTCAAATGGGAAAGACGTAACGAGGGAGGTCAGTTTCTGTCGAAATATCATTGCAGTGGATAGGAATAATTATGTGTGTAAGATAGAGGATATAGTCAGGTTCCTCCATGACGATTACTTTAGTTCGCTGAATGTGACTAATTTCAAGGACGCGTGCGTCAGGAAATTAGCGAAGAACGCAGAAAAAGATTTCTTCCATTTTCGTTAAAGTAAAAAAAGTATTATGAAGAATTAGTTTGTAGATAAAAGAGTATTAAGATTATGTATATATTTATTGTTTTATTTATTATTTAAAATCGTGCAATATAATAGTGTAGAAAAAATAAAAAACATACAAATCAAAAATAGGAGATTTTTCTAAACCCCTGTTATTTTATTTATTTAAAGTCTGTCATACAAGTCGGAGAAGATTTCGACAATAACAGATGACAACCAAAAAATGACAGAAAATACATTCTACATGACAGACAACTGTCATCGTTATACAGGGTGGTCCGAACTGTATTCCGGAAACTTCGGCAGCATATTCTGCAGATAAAAATAAGTAAAAAAGTTCGTATAAATGTCTGCCCTAAAATGCTTAGTTTCGGAGATACAGGGTGTAGAAGTTTCATTTTTATTTCGATTTTTTCCAAATAATTTATAAAGTAACGTCAATATTTGGATGAAAATTGGTGCCTGAGTTTTTTGACATGATAAATTTGATTTTGATGTCAATATGACTCCTACTTGTAGAAGGCGCCATCCACATATTTTTTAACGGGTTTGAAGAGCCATAACTTTTCGTCCGTACCTGTATAAAACTACTGATTAAAAAAATATACATTTGCGACATGTTTTACGTAAAAAAAGGTCTCTTGGTCAAAATCGCTACGAGTAATGGTTCTTGAGACATTTGGAATCGAAATTATTAATACCTGTCATCATTGACATAAATTAAACATGTTGACTAAATAGTTATTAGACTGAAATCATAAACTTGAAATGTTTTGTGCCAAAAGTTCAACAGAAATTGTTTTATCATCAATTTTTCGCAGAAAAATTTATGATTAATTTAAAAAAATACAAATTTCCCGAGTTCAGAATTTCAGTGAAATAACTATCTACTCAGCGTCTTTATTTTTTGTCAATAATGACATGTATTGACTATATCCATTCTAAATATCTTGAGAACGGTTGCGCGTAGCGATTTTTACCAAGAGACATTTTTTACGTAAAAAGTCACGGAAATGCATATTTTTTCACTCAGTAGTTTTATACAGGTACGGACAAAAAGTTATTATTCTTTAAAACAGTTAAAACACGTGGCGTCCCCTACAGATAGAACTCATATATTGACATCAAAATCGAATTTTTCCGGACACCAATTTTCATCCAAATATTGACGTTACTTCAGAAATTATTTGGAAAAAATCGAAATAAAAATAAAACTTCTACACCCTGTATTTCCGAAACTAATGAATTTAGGATATACATTTATACAATTTTTTTTTCTTTTTCTTAAACCTTTAAATTATATCATATATATTTTTTTTCCTTATCTTGGGTATGAGGTTTTTTTTTATTAATTGAAAAGGGAAACTTTTTTTTTTATTATGCGGCGTTTCGCCTCATCATGGTGGGCTTTCTCAGGCACTTTATTCTTGAAGCATTCTTCTATATAGACTGGTGGTAGCAAGGCGGCTGCGGCTTCAAGAATAAAGTGCCTGAGAAAGCCCACCATGATGAGGCGAAACGTCTCAAAATAAAAAAAAAGTTTCCATTTTCAATTAATAAAAAAAAAACCTCATACCCAAGATAAGGAAAAAATATATATATATGATTTATACAATTTTTTTTATTTACTTTTATCTGCAGAATATGCTGCCGAAGTTTCCAGAATACAGTTCGAACCACCCTGTATATCCGTCATCGTCATTTCTCTGCTTGGAAGACTTTATTTATCATATATAAATACATATCTATTAAAAACTAAATTAATTTTTATCTTTACTTGCTAGCTCAACAAATTCTTAAGTATTAACTCAAGACTGTATTTCAATTTTATTAAAAAAATCTCTGTAATGAATAAATAATTTGTAGTGAAATAGTATAAATTAACGTATATCAGTAATACATTATTGATTCTCTAAAATCGTCTAAATATAGTGTGTATAGTAGAAAACACCAATTTTTTTTTCATTTCATGTGGTAGGAGTCTATGAAACCATCACTCAACGCTACGTCATATATTGTATATGAAATAGATTGTAGACGTCATTACAAACCGTCATAACAAACTGATTGGTAGAGATTCTCGCATTCTTCGTTATCAAACGGTAGCCATGCGCATAACGTTCTCCTTATTGGTCAGTGCTATCCACCATTCTAGCCCCCCCCCCCCTGGAAATAGTCGAAATATTGAAATATCCAGTGGCGGTGTTTGGTTTAATTTGTGCCTTATTGATATTTAGCAAATTATTAAACAAAAAAATCATTAAACAAAACGTAGATACATTTAAAATATGTATTATAAAGTTTCCTGGAAAATATTATAGAACTATTTTATATTTTGATTGCTCGCATCGCCAGATCATATTTTTTGTTTTTTAACGATCCGTCAAATATGACTGATACTTGACACCTGTCGGTATACATCGTTGATTTTATGCAATTTTATTGGTTTATTTAAAAAAATACAGCTTATATTTAAATATGATTGGAGTGAAAGAATAACGGACGACGCATTACGCCATGCATGTAAACACACACTAAAAATGAAATATTTTTGGAATAAAACACAAAACGTACATTTTAATAACTATATTATAACAACAAAATAATAGAATTTTACAAAGAGTTTACAATAATCAATCACAGTGCCAATAATAAAATTATACAATTAATATCATTTTAATGAGTGTAAATTTATATATGTAATGTATTTGTAAAAATATAATTAAAATATAACATAACAATTATCAATTATATCTTAAGTACCGTATGATCGAAAAAAAAACGGCGTCAGTGATGGCTATGAAATGAAGATCGCTGTCATTTATTTTTTATGTAAAATTATATGGGAAATGTAAGCGATCGTCATTTCCCAGCCAACTGGACGCCGTTTTTTTCGATCATACGGTATATCGTTGTACTTAAAATATCTCGATTTCAATTTACTTTTTTTTAACAACAAATACCTACAATTTCTAGACATCAGAAGCCAAATCAATAGAGAGTTAACAAGTGCAACAAGCCTCTGTATTATATAAAAATAATTTTCTATTTAAAACTTACCTACAGAGAAGTATAGAATAACACGCTCTGTATTGTTTATATTAATGCAGTTTAAATCTATTTTATGGTAGTCTGTCCAAAAAATTAATTTGCCTAGGAATTAAAATGACAGACACAACACTGCCTCTGACTGGCCAGCGAGTTAAGGAAGATTTTGACAGATGACATCCCAAAAATTTTGGAAAGAAAATATCAATACAATGTCTATGAATTAAAATGACAGACATAACTGTCACTGTCAGGGATCCCCTCGCTGGATAGACTTTATACTTTAAATGTATTTACAGGGTGGTCCGAATTGTATTCGGGAAACTTGTGCCGCATATTGTGCAGATAAAAATAAGTAAAAAAGTTTGTATAAATAATGTATCACCTAAAAAGTTTAATTTTTATTTCGATTATTTAAAAATAATTTTTGAACTAATATCAACATTTGGATGAAAATTGGTGTCTGGTAGTTTTTTGAGAGGAAAATTTGATTTCGATCTTATTATGACTCCCATTTGTAGGGGGTGCCATCTACATATTTTTTGACACTAGTTTGAAAAATAATATCTACTCGTCTGTACCTGTATAAAACTACTGAGTGAAAAATTATACATTTCTGTCATTTTTTACGTAAAAATGGTAAAAATCGCTACAAGTAACGGTTCTCAAGATATTTTGAATCAAAATAATCAATACATGTCATCATGGACAAAAATTGAAATTGACAAGATCGATTAAAGACGCGCCCCTTATAGGTAGGACGTCCAAATCAAGTTCTTCTCAAAAAACTCCCAGGCACCAATTTTCATCTAAATATGGAAGCTAATTCAGAAATTATTTAAAAAAAATTAAAAAAAAAAACTTCTACACCCTGTATCTCAAAAACAAAGCATTGTAGGACAAATTTATAACAACTATTTTACTTATTTTTATCTGCAGAATATTCTGCCGAAGTTTCCCGAATACAATTCGGACCACCGTGTATATTAGTTATACATACAGTATGTCCTCGGATTGTCTTTACAAGAGGAAATTTTTTTTTATTATTGACATTTTGAGAAAGTCCTAAAAATAAAAAGGCGTCTATGGTAATATAATTTCGATTTCATTCTCTGATGGTTATTATTAATTTTGATTAACGTCATATTTTTTGCTGTTGTTAAAGTATCTGCTACTATCACCCTTCCGTAGCATTGAACCATAGATAAAAGAAATAAAAACGAAATTGTTTTGTGTAGCGAACGTTGTACGCGATCTGGCGCTGCTATAGCGGTTGCTAAGGACAACCGCAACAAAAACAGAAATAATTTTCTCTTGTCAAAGTCAGAATCTTCAAAAATTACAACATTTTTCAATATTTAAACCTCTCTCATTGAAAAAATACCGAAAAGTGTTTGGAGCGTCAATTTTCAAAGTAATTATTGTTATCTTGTGAGTTTAATTTATATTTTATTTACTCAAACCCGTGATAATTGTGAAAAAGTGGCATTAAAAACTTAAAAAGCTGTGCTGTGAACTGCAAAAACCATCGTGGATCGTGGCATAACGTCGCCGTCGGTTTCTAATGTTTCATAGGTATTTCATACATGTCCTATAGGTATTTCATACATGTCCTATAAAATAAAGTTTCTTGTAAGCAAAACACCGTATTTTATTTATAAAATTAAAAGAAAATAATAATAAATTTGAATAAACAATATTTGGTCATATAATTCCAGAAAAAGCTGAACCGCTCCGAAATTTTCAAAAGCTTTGGGTCGCGACCGTTGCAAGAATAGCGCCAGATAGTGTTTACATTGCCCTTATGGGCACTTTCCAATCTAAACTTGATTCATTTATCTATGCATTGAACTAAATACATTTTGTGCTTCTTTAACATTTTCAAACAAGAAAAATGAAGTTAATTAAAATTCTATCCACAATAATCTATCAAAGAATTAAAACGAAATTATATTACCATAGAAAGGCGTTTTGATTTTTAGGACTTTGATTTAGAATTTAGGACTTCATAACATAAAAATTCTACAATATTTTTATGTTTTTTCGAATTTTCTCTAAAACGGTATAGATTAAGCAATTTCAA